TCATTAAATAACAATAAATATTAGCATCGTAATATATATTTTCTAATACTATTTAAAGATAATGGTAATTCCTTTGGGCAAACCAAGAATTATTTCTCGCAATCCGGATGATATGTTTTTGAGAACAGCTAATACACGTATAGCGGGTGGAAGAGAAATTGTTCAGCCAATTGCACATAAGGTAAAAGCAATTTGACAAGTCTTAGAAAATACTCATGCCTATCCTTGCGAATAACTTTAATTTAAATTTACACGCTTAGATCATAGTAGATATTCGAGAATTTCGTTGTAGCTTACCGTCACTTCTTCATGCACATGGGATAGAAATCCTTCCATGCACATTAAAAGTTGGTGATTATATTTTATCACCAGATATTTGTGTTGAAAGAAAATCTATTTCGGATTTAATTGGGAGTTTTGTCTCGGGAAGGCTGTAAGTATTACCAAGTATTTATCAAGAAATTACCTAAACTAATATACACGGTACTTTCATAAAAGATATACGCAATGCGAAACCATGTCAATATACTATAAGCAACCCGTATTATTAATTGAATTTGAACAAAATCAAACGTTTACGCTTCAAGTAAATTTTTCTTTAATATCTTAATCGATAATTATTATAGAAGATATGGCATATTCTAATTTTCATTCCAATTTTCATTCCAATTTTTAAATTTACATTAGGCAATAAATGATCTGAAGTCTGACATCAACATCAATGATATTTCTTCAAAACTAGTGATGCTTACTCTGACATTTCCTCGTGTAAAAATTATTTGGTCTTCAAGTCCCCACGCAACCGTCCAAATATTTGAGGATTTAAAAGTAAGTTTATATTAGTACGATACCGCTTTTTGGCGAAACATTAATGGAAAGTTTTTCAATTAATCATTTAAAAGGAATCGCGCGATGAACCTGACCTTGAAACAGCGCAGTCTATCGGAGTAGAAAATGAGGATTTCTCCGAGCATAACTTGTCACCACAGGTGAATAATTTGTTTTGTCCGTCTGATTTTATAATTTATATGTTTATATGAAAATTTTATGATTAGGATATCCTTCGTACATTACCCGGGATAACTGCAAAAAACTATAAACACGTTATGT